AGAAATTGAATAGTATATATATTTATTAGTAGCTTTAAATTCTTTTTAAGACTTTGCATGACCAATATAATAATTTGTCGCGCAAAGTATACTCTAAAATTTTGGGTGGGTACCAAAATTCGAATTTTTTTTAAAAATTTTTTTACGACTTTGCGTGACCAATATATAGTCATTCGTCGCGCAAAGTATACCCGAAAAATTTGGGCGGGTACCAAAAATGGGAAGCGGGAATATTGTGGTCGCGTAAAACTTTGAGCGACCAAAATTTCGTCGGTCAAAACCCTAAAAATTTGGGCGCGCACCAAAAATGGGAATTTTAAAAAAAAAAAAAATTTGAGACTTTGCGCGACCAATATATTGTTTCGTCGCGCAAAGTGATACGGTTTTTAAAACCAAAATAACACCTCCACCATTTTCTCAATGTAGTGTAAATATTTTAAATTGACGATTGAATTGGTTCATTGTATTCATATAGGGTCGAGGAGTGTAGCTGTAAAAAATCATCAAAATCAGAGTTGAAATAACCGTTATATCTTAATTTTTCTTTTATAACCGTCGAAATGTTTTGTCCCATTACTTGATCTCTTAATGTTTATTTTTTCCGAATTTGGGCGTATATGATCTCGAAGTATAAAACAAAAAAGTTTGATGGTTGGATCGTTGAGTAGCTTTAAATTTGTTTATTTTGTACGTATAGCACTTGAGAAATTGAATAGTATATATATTTATTAGTAGCTTTAAATTCTTTTTAAGACTTTGCGCGACCAATATAATAATTTGTCGCGCAAAGTATACTCTAAAAATTTGGGTGGGTACCAAAATTCGAATTTTTTTTAAAAATTGTTTTACGACTTTGCGTGACCAATATATAGTCATTCGTCGCGCAAAGTATACCCGAAAAATTTGGGCGGGTACCAAAAATGGGAATGTAAAAAAAAAAAAAATTTACGACTTTGCGGGACCAATATATAGTCCTTCATCGCGCAAAGTGTACCCGAAAAATTTGGCCGGGTACCAAAAATGGGACGTGGGAATATTGTGGTCGCGCAAAACTTTGAGCGACCAAAATTTAGTCGCGCAAAACCCTAAAAATTTGGGCGCTCACCAAAAATGGGAATTTTTTTTCAAAATTTTTTTCGAGACTTTGCGCGACCAATATACTTTTTCGTCGCGCAAAGTGATACGGCTTTTAAAACCAAAATAACTCCTCCACCATTTTCTCAATGTCTTCTACTCTTACCTCTCCTCTCTCTTTCCCTCTCCCCAAATCCTACCCTCACTCCTCTCACTTAGTCTCTCATCTCTCTCTTCACTATCTCTCACTCTCACTCACTCTCTTATCTCTCTTTTCATCATCTCTCACTCTCACTCTCACTCTTTCATCTCTCTCTCACTATCTTCTCTATTCTCTCACACTCACTTCTCCCTCTCATTCTCACTCACTCAAAATCTTGCCAAAAGGTACATTCTCTCCAAACTTTAAATATTTTTTCATTAATATGTGTTTTTCGAGTTAGTTTTGAGTTTATGCCAATTTTTTGTTATTTGACAATATTTGTTTTTTTTGTAGGGAATCGTCGAGACTTTGATGGCTAAAGCTGAGGATTTGGACGCTATCGAAACATATCCTCCGCCACTACCACCACAATAGGCTTGTAGATTTTATTATTGTACTTTGTTAATTTATGTGTACATTTTGAATATTATATATATTGGATAATTTGATCACTATTTTTCATATGTAATTTTATTTTGAATATGTCAATTTAAATTAAAGTAATTAAAAAAAATAAAATCATACAATTAAATTAAATTTAAAAAGTAAAAATTTGAAAAATTAATATAAGAGAAATAATAAAACAAAATGTCAAAACCCTTGCGCAACAAAATATTTCGTCGCGCAAACTATTAAACTAGTTTATTTTAATTAAATTTAAAAAAAAAATTGAATATTTAGTAGCACAAAGATTTGCGCGACATCAGGAATCTTCGCGCAAAGTGTATTTGCGTGACGTTAACTTTCGTCGCGCAAAGTGTATTTGCGTGACGTTAACTTTCGTTGCGCAAAGTGGTTAAGTTTCGTCGCGCAAAATAGATATTATTCATCGCGCAAAGTAGATAGTATTCGTCGCGCAAAGTAATTAATAGTCGTCGTGCAAAGTTGATATTATTCGTCGCGCAAAGTGGTTAATTTTCGTCTCGCAAAGTATCTTTGAGTGACGTTAGTATTCGTCGCGCAAAGTATCTTTGCGCGAGAAAAAATATTGTTCGTCACGCAAAACCTTTCTTTACGATCTTTGCACGACAGAACTTGCGCGACCAAAATTACTTTGCGCAACAAAATTATTTTGGTGCGCAAAGTGTTTTTGCAGTAGTGTTTGAGATAGCATTTCATTAGCATCACGCCATCCACGGGTTGCAGCATCAACCATGAGTTGCAACAACATTCTACTCTCTTCCACACTCCAAGCATTATAATCTTGTTTGCTCTTCCCTTTTTCATTTACTTGTTGTGTATTTTCAGACTCTATTTGAGTGGTGCAGCTATGAATTTTATCATGTCAATCACAAATACAGCATAAAAAATATACAAAACTATAAACGTTGATCCCAAAAAATGCACATCAACAACCATAGATTCTAATAGACACATCTTATGCTGAATACAAACATGAATGATGTAGAACAAATGGCTAAATTGGAGTGAAGAATGGAAAAGGGATGCAGTAGGAATTTACAAATTTGGCGTCCAAGCTCCGATTGGGGCGTATGATATCTTTCTGAAAAGGGAACGATGCCACGAGTCTAACTCACATATTAGATGTGAAATATGATGGATTTTGGGCTTTTGAGGTCGTTTAGGCTTCCAAAACATAATTTAAAAGTTGTAATTTTTGGCTTTTCGTTTTTTTTTACTCTTTATCTCTATTTGTCTTAGTTTTTTTTGTTCGATTATAGAAAGGTTGTCAATTACTATATTTCAATTTCCTATCCTATCCAAATGATTCAATGAACAATTCTTATAAAGTCGTATATAGATATTTCAGAAGAAAAACAAGTATAAACCCTAGTAACAAGCATAAACCCTAACCCGAAGCTAAACCCTAATAACAAGTTAAACATGTAACCCCAAACTATACCTTAATAACAAGAAAAACACGATGAAGAAAAATCAAGGAAAAAAATCATGGAAAAAGAAAACCCAACGAGGTATTAATCAAAGAAAAAATAGGGAGCATACCTTCATGGATGGAGGAAGGAGGCTGTTCGTCTTCTGTTGCAGAGAGAAAAGCTAGGGCGAGAGAACAACGTCTGACGAAATACTTGGCGGGTAGGTTGGATTTATTATGGTCTTTGTTATTTATAGCTCTCACCTTAAAACCTACTAAAATTTATCACTTAATGAAATCCTTCCAAATATATGACCTTTTGTATACACCTAGATTTGATTCAACTTTTTTATAATCCTAATTGAATACACCCATATTTGAATGAACTTTTTAAAAGTTCATACAAGTCAAAATTGAATACACCCATACTTGTAAAACCTCTTTTAAAGTTTGTATAAATCCAAATTGAATACACCCGGATTTTTAAAATCTTTTTAAACGCTTTATAATCCTAATTGAATACACCCCCCTTTAGACTATGTGGTTCTTATAAAAATAATAATAATGATTACACCATTTTATTACCAGAAATTAATGTGTGAAAAGGAAAAGAAAAGCTCAAAAATAACAAAAGATATCATACTACCTGCACCTCTTCAAATTCCATCAGTTCAGGTTTTTGAATTTTGTACTCGATGACGGTAACACACAGACATATCAACATATAATTGACATCATGTTCTTTCATAATTTGTTTTTAATATATTGTACTTGCGATATAAATATTTATTGGGCAACTTTTGTTAACTATTTTCCTACTTTGTATAATATTACACCATCTGGCTATCTTTGGGCCAGAAGAAACCACCAATTTCTCTTTCTCATTCATTTTTTTTTCAAGAGATTTTATTTATTTATTTATTTATGAATTCCTCTCCAGAACTTAAAGAAGAGGAAAACCACGAATTGCATAATATTGCATGCATTGTAACTTGTAAGTGTGATTGTGGCGAAACCAGGGACACAACGAGGGCTTTGTCTCCCCCAATTTCGTTAACTGCATCGGAAAAAAAATACATCGTTAATATATCCCTAAGGTAAAATCTTATTGTTATTTTAAATTTTTATGCGTATGAGATTTCTCGTCATCATCAAATTGTATAGTCTCTAACTCTAAATGGGTCTGGTTTCAATCCTATTCTTAAATTAGGGTTATATTTTAGATCAAAGACAATATTGGGCTAGTTGTTGCTAATTAATGAGATTAGCTAGATCATTGGCTTAACCGTGGAAAGAATGATTCTTTCTCACGCACCTTGGTCTTTTTATTATATACATAATATTTGAGGGATCCCTCAATAGAAGCTCTCTGTATATATGTATATTAATTGTTTGTGTTGTGTGATGAATGTCTATGCGTATGGCAGAAACGTTTTCGTGTTCTTTTAAAATGGGAATGGGAAACGAGATTTTACTGCAAATTCTATCATGTTTGCTTCCAAAAACTTTGACGAGGTTCAAGTGCGTCTCTAAATGGTGGTGTGCTCTCATCAGCAGCCCGGAGTTTGTAGTGAAGCACGTGCAACACAATTCTGATCCCGACAATAATATTTTGTCCTCCTCCTCCACTTGTACAGTCCTTTTGAGGCGATTATTAGTGGATGATATGGTATGCGAGAGCCGACCCCACACCGAGCCCCGGAAGCACATCATTCATGGTATCGAAGACCAGGACACCAAATCTGTTGTATTCTCAGTCCTTAATTTTTGCTCCTACTGCTGCAATGCTAATTCTGATAATTGTCATTGTGATAATAGTGATCCGCTTAGGTTTCTTTCTAGTTTCGAGGACATGGACATGACCAACCTAAAGCAGCCGCTGTTTGGCGAAGAAAACACATTTCGTATTGTAGGCCACTGTGACGGTATCATTTGTGTCCAACTTAATGCTGCAGAGGTGTTGTTATGGAACCCAGCAATTCATGAGGCACCCAAGCTACTGCCTCCGGAGCCGTACCTAGATGTCGACATTGGTTCATCAATGCGTGACATGTCACGGGCCCTGGGATTTGGCTATGATCCTAAAACCAATGATTACAAAGTTGTTGACATTGGATATCCTGGCTATGAAACATATGGTGATGGTGGAAATGACCTTATAATTTATACGCCAAAACCAGTAGTGTACAGTTTGGGGACGGATACTTGGAGAGAGATCGCGACGGGCTCTCTGGAAACTGAAACTACAAACCTTTGGCCGGAGGATTTCCAGTTCTACTTAAAAGGGATGTGTTACTGGGTGGGGCACGAGCAATCTAAGTTGATCGACGGCTGGGGTGACATGCTGGTGGAAGACATTAGGGATGTGATCATTTCGTTTGATATGAGGGATGAGGTGTTTCATGATATACTGTTGCCGCATGTATATTGTTTAAGCCCAACGATTTTTTATAATATACGGCTTCTGCTGTGGAATCATAAGTCTGTTGCTCTTTTTGGATGCTGTGGTTGGGGACGCAATGATGAATCCTTTGGAATATGGGTCCTGCATGAAGAATTTGGAAATCGGCCGAACAATAATTATTATAATGCTACTTGGACCAAACACCATGCTTTTGATCTCACTTTGACCCACAAGCCTTTGGCATTT